TTTCCTTAGATTTTGAAGGCTACAGATCAAGGATTCAGCCTATGTCTATTCTCTAGGGATTAATAAGTCTATTAAGTACCGACTCGGGCAGAATATTTCTGGGGCCATTTTTGGCAGATTCCAAAGGGGTACCATCACTGATTTCGTGCGATATTTTGGAAAGGCCATATTCCTTTAATTTTGTTGGCGATGGATCACAGATTCGTCCTTAGGGTACTCTCCACCAATGATGAAGTCTACCAATCGCCGATTTTGGCAATAATTTGGTCTAACTTTTTCTGGGGGCATTTTCGTAATTTTTCGACAATTTTATCGAAAGGCCGTTTTCCTTAGATTTTTAAGGCTGCAGATCACGGATTCAGCCTGAGGATATTCTCTAGAGATTAATAAGTCTATTAAGTACCTACTCCGGCAAAATATTTCCAGGGCCATTTTCGGAAGATTCCAAAGGGGTACCATCACCAATTTTGGGTTATTTTTTCGAAAGACCATTTTCCTTATATTTTGAAGGCGACGGATCACAGATTCGTCCTTACGTTACTCTCCACCAACGATGAAGTCTACCAATCGCCGATTTGGGCGAAAATTTGGTCAAACTTTTTCATGGGCCATTTTCTTAATTTTTTCGGAAATATTTTGGAAATGCCACTTTCCTTGGATTTTGAAGGCGACGGATTAAAAATTCATCCTTAGAGTACTCTCCACCAATGATAAAGTCTACCAATCGCCGATGTGGGCGGAAATTTGGTCGAAGTTTTTCGAGGGGCATTTTCATAATTTTTTGGTGATTTTTTTGAAAGGTCGTTTTTCTTATATTTTGAAGGCTGCAGATCACGGATTCAGCCCGAGGCTATTCTCCAGGGATGAATAAGTCCATTTAACGCGATTCGGGTAGAGAATTGTCGGGGCCATTTTTGGTAGATTCCAAAGGAGTACCATCACCGATTTCAGGGCATTTTTTGGAAAGGCCATTTTCCTTGGATTTTGTAGGCGACGGATCACACATTCGTCCTTCGGGGACTCTCCACCAATGATGAAGTCTACCAATCGCCGATTTTGGCAATAATTTTGTCGAACATTTTTAGAGGGCATTTTCGTAAATTTTCGGCGATTTTTTCGAAAGACTGTTTTCCTTAGATTTTTAAGGCTGCTGATCACGGATTCAGCCTATGGCTATTCTCTAGGGATTAATAAGTCTATTAAGTAGCGACTCGGGCAGAATATTTCCGGGGCCATTTTTGGCAGATTCCAAAGGGGTACCATCACCGATTTTTGTCGATTTTTTGGAAAGGCCATTTTCCTTGGATTTTGAAGGCGACAGATCACAGATTCGTCCTTAGGGTACTCTCCACCAATGATGAAGTCTACCAATCGCCGTTTTTGGCAATAATATGGTCGAACTTTTTCGGGGGGGGGGGGGGGGGGGGGGGGGGGGGGGGGGCATTTTCTGAATTTTTCACCAATTTTTTTGAAAGGCTGTTTTCCTTAGATTTTTATGGCTGGAGATCACGGATTCAGTCTAAGGCTATTCTCTAGGGATTAATAAGTCTATTAAGTACCGATTCAGACAAAATATTTCCGGGGCCAATTTTGACGGATTCCAAAGGGACCATCACCGATTTCGGGCGATTTTTTGGAAAGGCCATTTTCCTTTGATTTCGTTCTTAGGGTACTCTCCACCTAGGGGTGGAATTCAGTACGGTATCGGTATCCCAATACCAAATATCGAAATCCCGAGTACCGAATTACACCCTAAAGTCAATCCCAATCCCAATCCCTAAATATACCGGTATCCCAATCAGTATTATCGAATACGAAATTAATTACCTTTATAATTAATAATTAAATATATAAATTAGATTTTATTGTTTAATTTAGGGAAAAAAAAGAAAAAGCAAAGAGTCTTGAATTAGGATATTATTAAGGAGAATGGAGGAGAGGAGACATCTCAAGTTCTTGTCATTGGTAATCTTTAATTTGACGAATTGGAGGTTGACAGACTACTATTAATAGTGATGGAATGATCTATGTATAATTTAATGACACTTTTGGGGGTTGAGGGTCATGTAGTAGTGAATGAGAGAATCTAGTTGAGAGGATAAAATACACACTAGCTTATATTTCGGTATTGATCGGTATTTCGGTATATACCGATCCCAATCGCGTAATCCCTAATACCGAATAACAAATGAAATTCAATCCCAATCCCAAAAAATAATTCGTGTATTCGGTAATACCAAATATAGACAAATTCAGTACGGTATTCGGTACCTATCCCAAATACCGGTACCAAACTTCCAGCCCTATCTCCACCAATGATGAAGTCTACCAATCGCCGATTTGGGCGAAAATTTGGTCGAACTTTTTCATGGGGTATTTTCGTAATTTTTCAGCGATTTTTTCAAAAGGACGCTTTCCTTAGTTTTTGAAGGATGCAGATCACGGATTCAGCCTGAGGCGATTCTCTAGGGATGAATAAGTCTATTAAACACCGATTCGGGCAGAATATTTCTGGGGCCTTTTTTGGCAGATTCCAAAGGGGTACCATCACCGATTTCAGGCGCTTTTTTGGAAAGGCCATTTTCCTTGGATTTTAAAGGCGACAGATCACAGATTCGTCCTTAGGGTACTCTCCATCAATGATGAATTCTACCAATCGCCAATTTGGGCAGAAATTTGGTCGAACTTTTTTGGGGTGGGGGGGGGGGTGGGGGTGTGTATTTCCATAATCTTTCGGCATTTCCATCATTGGGCAAAAATTTGGTCGCTAACAAAAACTGTAGAAAACGCATCGCTAACAAATCTCCTATTCATCGCTAACAATCGGCTCCTCTCCACCCATGTCCACCACTACGAAATCCATCGGGTAGATGAATGATCCATCTCTCAATAGTAGGTCTTCGATGATCCCATAGGATAGGTTATCGTTCTATCCGACACTTGTGCACATTTTTTGCACCTAAAACATAAATGATCATCTAATACACCCTAGGATACCGATTTTTCATCCTAGGAATGAATCAAGGGCATATTTGATGATATATTTACACTGAAGAACATAAAATAACTTGAAACTAACCTAAATATGAGTTCCAAATAACACTAATTTGAGTGTTATCAACTGCCTTTAAAGGGCTCGACATGGAGTTGGGGAGGAAGTTATGTCGCTCCCTCTCTCTCTCCCACATCTAAAGAGACTTAGTTAACCATAGTTTTTATGCCAGTTTCTCGCCATAAAGTATTAGCATTGGGGCAAGAGGATTCAAACCATATTCTACTTCTATTGCGATGCGGAGTGAGAGAAAGAGTTCACTGACTATGGAGGTCTGTAAACAAGTGGCTACTAATGGATACCTTTACTATACGTTTCTAGGCTTGTGGAACGTGTTGGTATCTTGACACGGGTATCTATTCTTGTTCGGCCAAAGGACGAGAAGTGCTTAAAGTTTGATCAAAGGTTGTTTTCATGTGTTTTTGGAATCTCGTCTTTGACTCATATTTTCTCTATAAATATCCCATGAGTTGCTAGTTTGGTTGTTGTGTACGTTTGCGAACCCTACAGGTTCTTTAGACTATGTAACTATTGATTCTTGGTTATATGAATATGTTGAGTACTTTGATTGTTTGGTCTCTTTGTATGATTTCTTATCAACTTGATTGTGTGCCAATATAAAGCTATCATCCCATGGGATAGATTTTGAAGTTGACTTTGTGATAGATGTGACTGGACACAGTCGTCCGTCCCAATTGATCAACAATCAGCTAGATTGCATGACTCATCGAGAGATAGTGTTCCAATGAAGGCTATTAGATATGATAAACTTCATACACATGGTAGGAATAAATCTACAAGAATCAAACAACCCATATGATGCAAGTACTAATTGAAGCGAGTCTAAGGAAACTCAAGAGGGAGCTTACCTACACAGCACCTTTTGATATGTGCTTCATTATACATGTTTTCCCCTCGTCTCTTGATCGTTTTGTTGGTCATTTGGTCTGAAAACGCCCTATCCTTTCCCCATTTTATGCTAGGTTGTGTTTGTTTGCCATATTTTAGATCCTAACATGTGGAGGAAGCATAAGGGCGAGTTTCACAATGATCGAAAGATAAAACGAGACTAAGGAGAGCCACGGGTAATGTCACGGCCCAAAAAGCAACGCCACGGTCCAAGCCTTACCGTGAGATGCAGTAGAGAGGGCAGGAGCATAGTTGAATGCCACGACCGTGACTTTCACTAATGTCAAGGTTGTGAAACCCCAAGAGCCACTAAATGAAACGATGTGTATAGGAAAGACAAGGCCCTGATTATTAATGTCATGGCAGTGACATTAGACGTGACTTTGTATATGTCAAGGGTTTAAATGCGTTGCATAATTCAGACTATTTTGGAGCATTTCTTTGTCATTGGAGTCCGAGAATCAAGCTTAGAGTGGAGATTACTGATCGAAGAAGAATCCCATCACCACCATGAAGTTTTTCTCCTTCTTATATGCATTTCTCTCTCTCTCTCTCTCTCTCTCTCTCTCTCTCTCTATATATATATATATATATATATATATGCATGTATGAAGTAACTCCCCTTCTCTTGGGTTTGAAGAACTTGAGATGCATATCATCGACGAGACTGGAACTTAAGAAATATCTTCAGCTAAAGACGTAAAAGGAGAAAGTTCTGTTGACAATCACTTTTTTTAGTTTTCACTTCAATCCTAAAAAACTATATATAAACAATACTAAATTATGGGTCAGACTGGTGTACTCCTGGAGTATACTCTACTCCTGGTACTCCTAGTTAGATATCTATATTTTGACAGTGAATTAATTCGAGTTTTGGGATGTGATATTATACCCTCACCTCTAATGGATAAACTTAGCCCTCGTTTCTCTAAACCCGAACCCGAAGTTCAATTTAATAGAAAATAATAATTGACTGTTCAGATTGATCGAAGCTCATTGAAATAATTAATATATTACTGGAGTATACCAACCTTTAACACAAAATTAAAATATTTTATTCTTCACAAGCTCGTTACATTCTTTATTATGTACACCCGTTTGAAGCCCGAAAATACCACTTATGATAATAAGAAATTAAATACATATTAAAAAATATGAAAAATCCTGATATATCATGCATTTCTACCACAAATTGAAAGATTTGGTACTATTCGAATACTACGTTGAAGATCTACACTCATAAACTTCATCTTTTGTCATCATCGTAGTATAAATACTTAGGCGAAGTATCAATTGTAATCGCAGCTCTCGTAATTTCCATGCTTAATGATATACCAGTTGTTTTAAGTTTTAACTAACCCCCGAAAAAGGAAGGATTAACTGAATGTAAATAATCGGTAACCAAACGAGGTAGCATTTCCATTCCGATCTAACTTAGCCAGCAAAGGAGGAAGAGAAGAAGTCCATTTGGTCCGCGATGAGAGCCAATCCAACCTCGATTCCATTGCTCCCATCCCTACACTCCGCCATCGAAATGCTTGCGGCTGACGTCACCTCCACGTGTTTGGGCTTCCCCCACCCGAAATCAGCTTCGTACAGCCCGAACCTGGGGGACCCAGCGACCCCGATGAACACACCTCGGCTCGCCTCCATCTTCCCGTCAAAGGTTGACGGGATCTCCGTCAGCCGACGACCTCCCTCTTCCTCCAACTCATCGATCATCCCGCTGATCCTCTCCACAGCAAAACCCATCCCTCCTCCTTCTTCTTCTTCTTCTTCCAGCAGCGGTTTCACTTCCATCAGCGCCGACTTGCCGATGAGGCAGTTCCCTAGGTAGTTTGCTGGCAGGGAGGGCCTCAGCCGGCCTCTGGCGTCCGCCATGAAGCCGACGTGAACCACTCCTTCCGCCGACAGCCGTTTGGCTTTCACGATGCAAACAATCGAGTGGGCGAAGGTCAGCACGAAACTCGACAGACGTGTCATCTTACGGCTGGATGACGTCGTCGTTTTCGTCATCATGGCCCTTTGCCTTAGGGTCTGGAGTCGTTCTCGGGAGAGCAGGAATGTCGCCCGGACCAACTCGGGCGCGAATGTGAACCGTGGAAGCTTCAAGCTTCTCCGGTCGGGGTTACCCGGTTGGGCCCGGCAGTCGAGGTAGGCCCGGCCCATGTCGTCTGGGTCGTGGACGACGAAGGACCGGTCCAGAAACGGGGTGAGTTCTTGGGGCAGCGCGGCCGTGGGGAACTTGGATGAGTGGGCCCAGGCCTTGAAGAAGAGGCTGGCGGATTTACCGTCGAGGACGGCGTGGTGACACGTCATCCCGACGCAAAACCCTTGGCCCGGGAACAACGTGATCTGGAGCGCGACGACGGCGGCCGAAGAGTCGGTAGATGGCAAGACGGGGACGAACGGGCGGGACAAGTCGGCGCTGCGTATTTGGGAAACGTCGGAGGCGAGGTGGTGGAAGTCGGCGGCGGATTGGGATACGGTGAGGGGAACTCCTCCGACGGCGCTGGATGAGGGAGCGTAGAGGAGGAAGGGCTTGGGGGAATCGACAGGCCATGTGAGAGTGGCGGCGAGCGGGAGGAAGTGGGAAAGGGTGGCGGAGAGGGAGAGCTTGAGGCTTGGGAGGAGGACGTAGGTGAAGAAGTCGAGGGTGGAATTTCGGGGAGGAAGCGGGTAGAAGAAGAGGCGTTCCACGGGCGGGGTACGGAACCAGTAGAGGTCGAAGACGGTGAGAGGGAAGGTTAAAATGTCGTCGGAGGGAGGAAGCGCCGGGGGGATGTGGCAGAGCTCTAGTTGAACTTGAGTGACTGGGTTGAGGGAGTCAGCCGACGCCATGATCTGTGTGTCGGTGACGGACTGACGGTGAGAATGAGAGCGGGAGAAAGGAGAGAGGTACGTAGAGTGATATGAATGGCTATTTGGGTGATTCAAAACTTCAGGTTGCAATTAAGTAGTGTACCATGCAAATGCAAAATATGTTGGCCCGCCTCATGTGGCTCAACAATAGCCAACGAGCCAAGCGGTGGAAATAAAAAAAAAAAAAAACTTAAATGCAATTGGGGAGATGGATAGCAGATAGATCCAACCAATTGCAATCAATTGGTTCCCCATTTCCTCTGCTATAAAAGGGAACATGGTTCTCCCTTTTTCAAAATCATCCTTCACCATTTCATATTTCTCCAATTCATTTGCTCTGCTTCTGTTCGTATTTCTTTTGTGGGTTTTGGTAGTGAAACGTTTTCACTACCACGGGTAGATAGGAGAATTCTTGTGAGTGAAATAGTGAGGTTGTTCCGGGAAACACCGAGTGTTCTATTTCCTTGTATCTTGAAATTCTCTGTAACCTACTGTTGCAATAGTGAAGAAATACTCTGGAGCTGTTGTTCCCGTGGACTGGCCCTAAATCAGGGTATACCACGTAAATCCTCTGTGACATTTATTATTGTCTATGCTTGTTGTCATTTTGAGAATAGTCGTAGTATATTGCGTTATTAAATTACCGAAGTAAATTGATCTAAGTAAGTTGGTTACCGTAATTCTGGAGGCTCTGCCACCAGGTCCAACTTACCTGTGAACTTTTTACAAGCGTGTGATTTTTAATCCAATATATTTACCTGCTATTCTCACCCGCTGCGCCCAACAAGTGGTATCAGAGCCACGTCCAATGGAGGCAAAAACAAGCAAGATGATAAGTCTGAATGGCTCCAACTATCACATATGGAGAAACAAGATGAAGGATCTCCTACTCGTGACGGAGTTGCATTTGCCGGTGTTTAGCCCAACTAAACCTGATGGCAAAACTGAAGAGGAATGGGAGTTCAAGCATGAGCAAGTATGTGGCTACATTCGACAGTTTGTCGACGATAATGTATACAACCACATTAGCGGAGAAACTCATGCCAGAACCTGTGGAACAAGCTGGAGGCACTTTATGCATCAAAGACCGGCAACAACAAATTATTTTATCTGACCAAGTTGGTCCAGATGAAATACAAGGAAGGCAAATCCTTGGCGGATCACTTGAACGAAATTCAAGGGATCGTGGATCAGTTGTCCGGTATGGGCATAAAGATGGAAGATGAGGTGGTCGCTCTCCTCGTTCTGGCTTCCCTTCCAGAATCTTGGGAGACGCTAAAAATTTCACTTACCAACTCTGCAAAAGATGGAGTTATAAACATGGAGATTGTCAAAAGCGGAGTCCTGAACGAAGAGATGCGAAAAAGATCACAAGGTGCATCCTCATCATCTTCCCAGTCAGACCTTCTGATAGTGGATTCCAGAAGCAGAGGAAGAAGTGAAGCTAGAGGCTCAAAGCAAAGAGGCAAGAGTCGAGGGAAGTCCAACAAGTTTGCCAACATCCAATGTCATCACTGCAAGGAAAAGGGCCACATCAGAAGATTTTGCCCAAAGTTCAGAAATGAGAGAAAGAAGGGCAAACGAGATGAGAACAGTGATGATGATGGTGCAAACTCTGTAGATGAGTTCAATATTGTCTACGAGGAAGATGTTGTCAACCTGACAACCCAGGAGACAAGCTGGGTGGTTGATAGTGGTGCTACCATCCACGTGACGTCCAAGAGAGAATTTTTCTCATCTTACACACCAGGTGACTTTGGTGTGGTAAGAATGGGAAATGGTAATCTTTCCAAAGTTATCGGAAAAGGAGAAGTCTGCTTGGAGATGATGAATGGTACGAAGCTACTGCTGAAGGATGTCAGGCATGTTCCAGAAATGCGCCTGAATCTCATCTCTGTAGACAAGTTGGATGAGGAAGGTTACTGCAACACCTTTCACAATGGCCAGTGGAAACTCACCAGAGGCTCCTTGGTGTTGGCCAAGGGCAAGAAGCTGTCAAAGCTGTATGTGACGGAAGCCAAGATCTCCCCAGAGATTGTCAACTCAGCGGAGAATGGTGACACAATTGAATTGTGGCACAAACGGCTCGGTCACATGAGTGAGAAGTCCATGGCAAAGTTGGCCCAGAAGAAGGTCATAGTTGGGTTGGATCAAGTTCATCTAAAGAAGTGTGTCGATTGCCTTGCGGGAAAGCAAAATCGAGTTGCTTTCAAAAGTTCCATCCCTTCAAGAGCAAAGAACGTGTTGGATCTAGTTCACTCAGATCTCTGTGAACCCGATGTCAACGTCAAATCACTTGGAGGTGCCAGATATTTTGTGACATTCATTGATGACCATTCACGGAAGACTTGGGTGTATACCTTGAAGACCAAGGATCAGGCCCTAGACGTTTTCAAACAATTCTTGGCCCTGGTGGAGAGGGAAACTGGCAAGAAGCTGAAGTGCATCCGGACTGACAATGGTGGAGAGTACAGAGGTCCGTTTGCTACCTTCTACAAGGAACATGGAATTCGGCAGCAATTCACACCACCAAAGACGCCGCAATTGAATGGGCTAGCTGAGAGGATGAACAGGACCCTGCTAGAGAGAGTCAGGTGCTTGTTATCACACTCGAAGCTACCACAATCTTTCTGGGGGGAGGCACTGCTTGCAGCAGTTTATGTGTGGAACAGGTCACCTAGTGTGCCACTGAAGTATGACGCCCCAGAGAAGGTGTGGACAGGAAAAGAAGTTTCCTACAAACATTTGCGGGTGTTTGGTTGCAAGGCCTTTGTCCATATTCCAAAGGATGAAAGGTCAAAGTTGGATTCAAAGACGCGACCGTGCGTATTCATTGGCTATGGTCAAAATGAGTTTGGCTATAGATTCTTTGATCCAATCCAGAAGAAGCTTATCAGAAGCCGTGATGCTGTGTTCATCGAGAATGAGACCATCGAAGATGTTGTTGCTAGGAAAGAAGTTCCTAGTACTGATGCTAGCCAGCCAAACCTTGAGCTAGTGCCTCCAACACCAGCGCCTACAGAAGTTGGAGAAGAAGTACAACATGATCAGCCTGAGATAGTTGAACCAAATGCCCATGTGGAGGTTCAACCAGAAGATGCTGATGACGATGGTCAACCACCAGCCATAGAAGGTTCTCCTGTTCGAACAACAAGATCTAGTAGAATTTCACGACCGTCTACCAGATATCCCGAGACTGAATATGTCTCACTTACTGACGGCGGAGAACCAGAAAGCTTCACAGAAGCTATGAATGATGAAGACAAGCAAAGGTGGATAGAAGCCATGCAAGACGAGATGGATTCCTTGTATGATAACAACACATTTGAGTTGGTGAAGTTGCCAAAAGGCAAGAGAGCTTTGAAGAACAAGTGGGTGTTTAAGATCAAGCATGATGAACACAACCGTCAGCCACGCTTCAAAGCCAGACTAGTCGTGAAAGGCTTCAGTCAAAGGAAAGGCATTGACTTTGACGAGATATTTTCACCTGTGGTGAAGATGACATCCATTCGTACTGTGTTGGGACTAGCAGCAAGTCTTAACCTGGAGGTTGAACAAATGGATGTGAAAACTGCTTTCCTTCATGGTGATTTGGAGGAAGAGATTTACATGGAGCAGCCAGAAGGCTTCAAGAAAGAGAAAAATGAGGACTATGTGTGCAGGCTCCGTAAGAGCTTGTATGGCTTGAAGCAGGCACCAAGATAATGGTATAAGAAGTTTGAGTCTGTTATGGGGGAGCAAGGCTACATGAAGACTACTTCAGACCACTGCGTGTTCGTGAAGAAATTTCCTGATGGAGATTTCATCATACTTTTGCTCTATGTGGATGATATGCTAATTGCTGGGCAGAACGTCTCAAAGATCAATGATTTGAAGAAGGAGTTGAGCAAGTCTTTTGCCATGAAAGACTTGGGACCAGCAAAGCAAATTCTTGGCGTGAGGATCGTTCGAGATCGAGGTGCCAAGAAGATATGGTTGTCACAAGAGAAGTACATTGATAAAGTGCTTCAACGTTTCAACATGGATAATGCTAAGGCGGTTAGCTGTCCTCTTGCTAACCACTTTACATTGACATCCAAACAGAGCCCGTCTACTGAGAAGGAAAAGGCGGAGATGGATAAAATTCCATATGCTTCAGCAGTGGGAAGTTTGATGTACGCCATGGTGTGTACAAGGCCAGATATTGCTCATGCAGTTGGAGTTGTCAGTCGGTTTCTTTCCAAACCAGGAAAGGAACATTGGGAAGCTGTGAAGTGGATCCTCAGATACCTTCGAGGTAGCTCCAAAATGAGTCTATGTTTTGGAGATGGTGAACCTGTCCTTGTTGGCTATACAGATGCTGACATGGCAGGTGATGTTGATTCGAGGAGGTCCACTTCTGGGTACCTGATTACCTTATCAGGGGGAGCAATATCGTGGCAGTCAAGGCTACAAAAGTGTGTAGCTCTTTCCACAACAGAAGCTGAGTATATAGCAGTAACGGAAGCATGCAAGGAGATGATATGGATGAAGAAGTTCCTGAATGAACTTGGGTTCCTACAGGAACAACCGCAGCTGTTCTGTGACAGTCAGAGTGCTATTCATCTTGCTAAGAATGCTTCATTTCATGCTCGATCAAAACATATCGATGTTCGATATCACTGGATTCGTGATGTACTTGAAATGAAGCAACTACAACTGGAGAAGATCCATACTGACGAAAATGGATCTGACATGTGTACCAAGACTCTTCCAAGAGAAAAGTTTGAGTTCTGTCGATCAGCTGCAGGAATAATGAAGTCGCCCATGTAGTCGGGCGGGGGAGAATTGTTGGCCCGCCTCATGTGGCTCAACAATAGCCAACGAGCCAAGCGGTGGAAATAAAAAAAAAAAAAAAACTTAAATGCAGTTGGGGAGATGGATAGCAGATAGATCCAACCAATTGCAATCAATTGGTTCCCCATTTCCTCTGCTATAAAAGGGAACATGGTTCTCCCTTTTTCAAAATCATCCTTCACCATTTCATACTTCTCCAATTCATTTGCTCTGCTTCTGTTCGTATTTCTTTTGTGGGTTTTGGTAGTGAAACGTTTTCACTACCACGGGTAGATAGGAGAATTCTTGTGAGTGAAATAGTGAGGTTGTTCCGGGAAACACCGAGTGTTCTATTTCCTTGTATCTTGAAATTCTCTGTAACCTACTGTTGCAATAGTGAAGAAATACTCTGGAGCTGTTGTTCCCGTGGACTGGCCCTAAATCAGGGTATACCACGTAAATCCTCTGTGACATTTATTATTGTCTATGCTTGTTGTCATTTTGAGAATAGTCGTAGTATATTGCGTTATTAAATTACCGAAGTAAATTGATCTAAGTAAGTTGGTTACCGTAATTCTGGAGGCTCTGCCACCAGGTCCAACTTACCTGTGAACTTTTTACAAGCGTGTGATTTTTTAATCCAATATATTTACCTGCTATTCTCACCCACTGCGCCCAACAAAATAGTTGTCAGTTGTCACGTCTCAACTACCTTAGGACAGACTCGAATAAATTTTGTTACCCTTCATCACTTTATAGCTTTGTAATACCTTTATGAGATCAAGCATACGTGGCAATTTGAAGTATTATATCATTTAACCTATTTTGTTTAGTATAATTAAGATGTTTGGTTGTAATTATTCTTTTTACGTGGTGGTGTTGGATTAGAAATTGTGTTATTTCTTTTTTAGTATTTAATTAATATTTTTTGAAAGGCTAGCGGGAAAAGTAGAGGATGGACCGATGGAGGTTTACATGCCTTGGTTGACAAGAAAAAAGATTTTGTTTGCATAGCTTTGTTAAGTTGTTTGTTTAGAGTTTGGTAGCTATTATGGGTTGTTCTCGCGACAAGGAAAAGTATCGTATCAAGCAAAATCTATCTAAAGTACGAAGACCATCCTATACAGAACAACCGGTATCAGACTTAGTTCTCCGGCACTTAATTCGAGATGGTGATTCTGGAGCAAAGCAATCACTACGAATAACATGCGATGGCTGACCAGTTGATCGAAAAATTGATAAACCTGATGCTCAGGTTGAGGAATTCTTCACTGTCATAGCTGCTGCCGATACAGACTTCCGAGAAGAGTTCAGCCGAAGCCCGACGACATTTCGGAGGCGATGCTCCGTACGTTATCAGGCGACCTGATATATAGGGATGGCAATAGGTCGGGTCGGGGACGGATAGTGTATATCCATTACCCTATCCAAATTAGTTCGGGTTTTACCCATACCCATATCCGTATAAGAAAAGGGTAGAAAATTCAAACCTGCCCATACCCGTGCGGGTTTCGGGTATCCACGGTTATCCATGCACTACAAAATTGATAGGTTTAGGGGACGGAAAATTTCGTCTCCAAAACATGGGTTTTTCGTCTCCAAATCTTTTGGAGACGAAAATTTTCGTCTCCACGAGTGGTGCCTATAGGTTCCGTCCTCTATTCATTGGGGCTTGCTATTTGCCGCCAACCAAATTGCTATTTGCCGCCAACCAAAAAAAAAAAAAAAAAAAAAGTATATATATACATAGTAGGGTAAGGAGTTTCATAATCTACAACATATCCAACTTTCAGAGAACATATTGAATCAGAAAAATTCAACGCTCGCCGGAAAAGTCGCCGGAAAATCATCGGGAAAGCCTATCCTCGACATATACTGCGTACACGCATCAATGAATCATCACTAAGCAGGTGCGTAATTTTTTTGTAGTTTCGAACAATTTTTCCGACGATTTGAAACGAACAGACGGTGGGCCGAAAATTTCCGGCGGCCGGAACCTGGCCGGGCCAAAAATTTCCGGTGGCCGGAACCTGGCCGAGCCGAAAAATTCCGGCGGCCGGAACCAGGCTGAGCCGCAAGATATTTTCGGCCCGGCCAGGTTCCAGCCACCGGAAATTTTCGGCCCGGCCAGGTTCCGGCCGCCGGAAATTTTCGGCCCGGCCAGGTTCCGGCCACCGGAAATTTTCGGCTCACAGTCTGTTTTTGCAATTTTTCGGAAAAATTCGATTTTAGGAGTTGAATTTAGAGTTTAGGAGTTGAATTTAGAGTTTAGGAGTTGAATTTAGCGTGTAAGGATTGAATTTAGAGTTTAGGAGTTGAATTTAGCGGTTAAGAATTGAAATTAGCGTTTAGGTTCACAGGAATATTGATATATTATATTGTAATTGTAGGAAAAATGTCAGAGTTGTTACCGGCCGATCATGATTACACACATGAATTTCAGAATGGGATCCATTATGCAAGTGTGGAGTTAGCTGAGTTAGCTGCAAGAACAATCGCTCAGCAGTGTGGGTTCTTTATTGTTAGAGGATCATGGAAACCGAATACTGCTGGACAGAATCCTGTTACTGCCCTCTGTATGTATTGCGACAGAAGTAGTAGGATCGTTAAGTCTTATAAACCAGACCCTACGAAGGAGACGCGTGAGAATATTAGTTCGAAAGGTACTGGTTGCCAGTTTCAGATATGTATAAAGGAAGTATGGCAAAAGGATGGTCCAAACACATGGGTCATGGTGGGAGTGACAAGTCGTGAAACCGGAGCTAATAGAGGGTTTCACAACCATGAAAAGGTGTTGTATCCAGAACATCACCGACACAACAAACAGTTTAGTGAGGCTGAAAAAGAGAGGTTAAGATTAATGAGGAAGGCGGGGGTGAGACCAAATCAGCAGAAGACGACACTCAATACTGAAGGGGGTGTGCATCATGATATCAAACAGATGTACAACATAAATTCCAAGACAAGATTGGATGAGATGGGTGAAATGGATGCGATACAGTTTGCGCTTCACGGAGCTGAACATCGTGGGTACCATATCTGTTTGCAAAAGGACTCTAATAATGTGCTCACTAATCTGTTTTTTGCGCACCCGACGTCCATTCAGATGTTGCATGCATGGCCGTACGTCATCCTCATTGACTCGACCTACAAGACCAACAGGTACGGCTGGCCATGGGTTGAGATTATTGGGGTTACTCCAGTGAAGAAGAATTTCAACATTGCATGTGCAATTATTAAGCAGGAAACAAAGGAAACATATGAGTGGCTGCTGCGATGTATTAAAGGGTTGCTCGGTGATACGGTTCCGAATGTCATTGTGACAGACAAAGAAGGTGGTTTGCTTGCTTCTATTCCTGTGGTCTTCCCTCTCCCACATACTGTCCACCTACTATGTTTATGGCACGTCAACAACTGTGTGAAGCAAAAGTTTGAAGTGTTACTTGGTGGAATTGCAAAAAGAGAGGTAGCACATGCGGTATGGAAGAAATATTTCGACAAAGCTGCATGGAGTTGGACTCAGGAGGGTTTTCTTCAAAAGATTAATGAGTTTGAGAGGGTCTGGACAGTGAAGAACAAAAAAATGGTCGACTACGTGCGAGGTGAGTGGTTGCCTCATCAGACAATGTGGGCAATGTGCTACACGAACCATGTGTTTCATCTTGGTAACACGAGCTCGAATAGAGTTGAGTCATCTCACTCTTCATTCAAGACTTTCCTTGTGTCTGGTAGAGGAGCGATCGACACTTGTTTTGCGAAGAACCACAACTACATGGAACATCAGTTTCTGGAAGTGGTGAATGAACTGCACAAGTCACTGAACCGCAATCTGAGTAGGGCAATTGAGGCTCCGTGCACGTTTTTGAGGAGGGTCGTTAGTTCTGAGGCAATCAAACTGATGTTAGATGGGGCGGCGGAGTTGAAGGACAGTTGTGCGTGTCATTTTCAGATGACACATGGGCTCAAGTGTGCTTGCCAGATTGTTCAAGCTAAGGAAGAAGGACGTCAATTCTATGCTCAAGAGTTGCATGTATTTTGGCGGACTTTGGATTATAAAAACCCCCCACGTCAACAACAAGTCAGTGATGAAATTGAGCTTCAACGAGAACACTTTAGGCGTCTTACTGTTGAGGTGGAAGAAAGAGGTCCTGAAGCAGTGAGACAAGCAAGAGATGCCCTATTCTATGGGCTTCATCCAGCAGAGGACAATGTGAGGGAACCGGAAGTGAATGAGAATCCGAGAGGACGCCCTAGAACAAGCACCAGTCGCATTCGTTCATATTATGAGCGGTCTCGTTCGAGGAGTACTGGGCCTGGTTCGAGTGGAGGTAGGGGGCGATCGAGTGGAGGCAGATCCCGATCGAGTGGAGGCAGATCCCGATCGAGTGGAGGCAGATCTCGATCGAGTGGAGGCAGATCCCGATCGAGTGGAGGTGAATCCGACGAGCATGATACAGGTGAGTAATTGGTTTAATATCTAGTAGTAATTGGTTTATGTTCGTAAATTTTTTCCATGTAATTTTGACCGTTTGGTATATTTTTGTAGATTACTCATCCCAGAGCCCCCCAGGGCAATATTCTTACCCTTACATCGATGAGCTTTTTCCAGAGTTTGTTCGACCTTTGCTGGTAGGCGATTTCAACCCTAGTCCAGATGGCCATTGTGGTTTTAGGGCACTTTCTCATTGTATTTATGGGGATGATAGTCACTATCTGCTCATGAGATCGACGATTGTCCAAGAAATCCAACAACATTTTTGGAAGTACGAGAACTTGTATAATGGTGGTCCACTAGCTCACATTGACCGCATCAATTGGCTCGAGGCGGGTCACGCACCACCGGGGCGATGGATGGATTCTGAGGACTTGTTCGTGTTTGCCACCATCTACAACATCGCAGTCATGGTCTTCACATACCAGGTGTTTGATGTCAATAATGGAAACCGTCCACTACCCAACCGCTACGATGATGCCTATACTGTATTGCCTATTGATGCGGACCTAGGTACTTTGCCACCAACCATGTTCTTATCACTGCACTATGTGAACAACCACTACATTCGATTGTACTTCAACCAGAATCAGTTTCCTATACCCCCTTTGCATCCACATTGGAATGGGATCGCAAATCCTAATGTGGCGGAGTGGGGAGCTATTCTCGAGGTTGGACAGAATTTGTTTGCGAGCCTTGGTGGTCGGCAGCGAGCACGGCAGAGAGACCCCCGAAGAGCTAGGGGAAGGGGTAGGGGTAGGAGCAATGCATAGTGTTGCAATACTCTATTTATATGTTGTTGTTTTTCTAGTTGTATTTTTAATGACCCTAGTGTCATTATGAACTTATGGATTTCATTATGTTCTAGTTGTATCTTTAATGACCCTAAACATGCAGTCTAAACACAAACATCCGATCCAAACATACATAAGTAGTCAAACATCCGATCTAACACACAAACATGGAAACATGCAGTCTAAACATAAACATCCGATCCAAACATACATAAGTAGTCAAACATGGAAACATCAAAACAACTAAAAATCCCCTGGAGGAGGGGGGAGTCCCTGAGAAGCCCAGTACTCAGTCCACACATCCTGCACTCCGTGCAGTGCCCTGTAGGCTCGTCGATAATGCTCAAGAAACTCCTCCTCGGTCCCTGCTGCTGCTCGAACCGCAGGTGCAAACGTGTATAAAAGGTCGCGACCACGCTGCATAAAAAAGAAACAAAAACAATTTTTAGTTTCATGCTAAGTATATTTATAATAGAGTAACGATATAATGGTCAAATCTTACCGCTGCGGAGTCAATAAGTCGATCTGCTTCTTCATCATCCCGTAGGACTCTACAATGAGAGTGCGCCACGAACCAGTCAAGATAGTCTCTCGTAGTCTCATATGGATACGTCGTCCACGGCCGAGAGTACATGTCTATATGAACCATGTGGGATAGCAGAGCATCCCATGCAGCATCAAAACTCTCAGGAATCCGAAGGACATATCCACCAGGTGCCTCTGGTCGGTCTGCTCGCTGAGGACGCGAAGGGGCAGGCGGTACCATCTGAACATATCCAAACTGTCGGAGGCAACGGGCTGGATCGTAGAACTCGCCTATGTCAGCGAACCGGATGACTCCAGTGTACAAAGAGCGACGCACTGCCTGATGAGGCCTCTGATGGAAAGGTGTCCAAAACACATCAGAAGGGGTCAAGCTGTCAAGAGCTCGACGGTAGAACGCCAACCTCACACTGGGATCCGCCACAGAACCAGGTGCCGGCTGCCCAATCCATCGTGAAGCCCAAGCATCATCAGGTCCAACGGCGGCAGGCTCGAAGTGAGATGGCCTGAAACCCGGAAAGTACTCGTAGATCCAACACTGCAGAAGTGTGAGACAACCAGCCATCCCCCTGGCACCAGCACGAGACGCCTGACCAAGGTATCTGTACAACCAAGCAACTGTACCTGACGCCCAACTATACTGATCTAACTCCTCCAACTCGTCCAAAAATAGGTTCACCACCGACCGAAACCTGTCTCTACTCTTGTCCACAAACAAAGTGGACCCCAACAACAACAACAAGTACGACTGCGCCTCTGTCACATGTGTCCCGTGGCTCTGCAAGTATCTGGACGCCATCTCTGCAAGAAAACCACCCTTCTCGTACCACTTACCCCTATTATTATATCCAAGGACCTCCGTACGACCACTCAACTGCTCCGAGTTCATCCCAAGAAGCGCACACAAACCCGCCTCCGGATGGTCAAGCTGCGCAGAACTCCTACTCATCAGTCGTCCCTCAACAGGAATCTGCAGTAAGTACTGAACATCGTGGAGGAGGATCGTCATCTCTCCAAAAGGCAAGTGGAAGGTGTTCGTGTCTGGCTGCCACCTCTCCACAAAAGCTGAGATCAAAGCATCGTCAATCGCTATCCTGCGGAACATAGAGTACATCAGGTGCTGGAGACCTGACTGCTGAACCAGATTCTCCGCCTCAACATGACTAAACACGTAGCTACTCAAATAAGCAACCGCCGATGTACGGCTGTAGCAACTGATGACCCCTCGATCTCCAGCCCCCGTCCAAAGCGCATAGGCAACGTGTCCACGAAAGCTCCTAATGAGGCTAGGATCCGTAGGTCCACCAGGACACTCACCAACAAGCTCCCACTGTGGAGGACCACTCGAACGTCCTCCCCTACTCCGTCCAGTCCCCGAGCTCTCTGTCTCCTGACGAGCAGGTGGTACGAAGCGCCCAGCTCGGTCCCTATACAAAGCAGGACGTGATGTTGCCGTACGAGACGACACTCGTCCATGTCCACGCGTAGGTGGAGGGACCTCGATATCCTCATCACTATCGTCCTCATCAAACTCAGCCGAGACCACTCTGGATGCAGCACCCTGGTTCCTCCCATGGGAACCAGACGCCCGTGATGCCGAACGAGCAACTACAGTAGGAGCCTCTAACTCATCCTCCCCTAAATTTGCCTGTGACTGATGTCCAATATCTCGAGAGCGCTTATTCTCCTTATTCTTCCTTCGTGCTGATACATCAACAACCCTACCATTGAATCTATTCAACTCATCCCCACCCGCATGACCCGCATCATCCATATCTAATTATCTACAAATTTACAAAATATCATACTTAGATGCGCACTAATTAATTAATTTTCTATTAACTAATGTAATATTAACATCAATTGTTAATTAATCACAAATTAATTAAATTTCTATTAACTAATGTACTGAATATTAACATTAATTGTTAAATCAATTCTTAATTAATTAAAATTCCATTAACTAATCTAAGTAATTAAACATTCAAACGCCTATTACAAAAAAAAAATATTTATAAACCAACTGAAATAAATATTAACACTAATTGCTAATTTCTACTAACCAATTATGTATTTATTTATTTATTAATTAATTATCGTATTAAATTAAATTAAATACAAAACTGGCCGGGCCGAAAGAAATTAAATTAAATTTCTATTAACTAATGTACTGAATATTAACATTAATTGTTAAATCAATTCTTAATTAATTAAAATTCCATTAACTAATCTAAGTAATTAAACATTCAAACGCCTATTACAAAAAAAAACATTTATAAACCAACTGAAATAAATATTAACACTAATTGCTAATTTCTACTAACCAATTAAGTATTTATTTATTTATTAATTAATTATCGTATTACATTAAATTAAATACAAAAACTGGCCGGGCCGAAAGAATTTTGCGGCCGGTGCGCCGCCGGGCCGAAAAAAATTTGCGGCCGGAGCGTCGGCCGGCCGAAAAAAGTTTGCGGCCGTGGCGTCGCCGGGCCGAAAGAATTTTTCGGCCGGTGCGACGGCCGGCCGAAAATTTCTTTCGGCCCGGCGACGCCACGGCCGCAAATTTTTTTCGGCCGGCCGACGAGCTCGCCGCCGGAAATTTTTTGGGCGGCGAGGTCGGCGACCGGCCGAAAAAAATTTGCGGCCGCGGCGTCGCCGGGCCGAAAGAATTTTTCGGCCGGCCGTCGCACCGGCCGAAAATTTTTTTCGGCCGGCCGACGCTCCGGCCGCAAATTTTTTTCGGCCCGCCCTGTTTTTCGCCGGAAAACTGGAAAACTTTCCGGAAAACTGGAAAACTGGCCGTAAAAAATAAACTTACTTGTTTTCCGACGATTGAGGGCGACGGGAGGTTAGCCGACGATGGAAGAACGGTGCCGGCGACGGAGGCACTGGGCTCGTCAACAGAAGTTTTTGTTGGAATGAGTCAAATGTTCATGGGTATCCGAATTTATAGAATGTAAGGAAGGGAAGGGAGGGAAAATTCAAAATTTGAATTCAAATTTTTTTTTTTTTTTTTGTTGGCGGCAAATAGCAATTTGCTTGCCGGCAAATAGCCGTTCACTATTCATTTGGGAACAAAAAATGAAAGTCGTCCCCAATATCAGGGACACGTAGTCGTCTCCAAAAAATAAAAAAATTAAATTAATTTTCCGCCATTTTTCTACGAATTTAGAACAACATGTCTTCTCCTATGCAATATTTCAGGAGACAAAAATTCGTCCCCTGTGAATTATATTTCGATACAATAAGTAGTCCCCTATTAAGCATTTTTTGAGACAACAAGTCGTCTCCTAAGAAGTGTTTTCGAGACATTAAGCCTTGCTAACAACTATCTTTGAAGACTTTTAATCGTCCCTAATGCAATGTTTTCGAGACGACAAGTTGTTTCCAAAGAACCATCTTCGGAGACAACATATCATCCCTTATACAGTGCTATTAGATATACCAATTCGTCTCTTATGAAATGTTTTTCAAGACCATAAGTCGTGCCCTAAAATCACCTTTTTGGGACAAAGAATAGTCCTTTGAGTACCACTTCTTGAGACAACAAATCATCTCTTAATACGATTTCTGGAGACAGAGAGTCGTCTTTAAGAACTATTTTTCGAGACAAAAAGGTGTCCTTTAAGTAGATTTTCGGAGACAACAAGTCATCTTGTAATAATCGTTTGTGGAGACAATGGGTATCCCATATACACTACAATTAGAGACAATGAGTCGTCCTCTAAGTGCTTGTTTTAGAGACATCAAATCATTTTCTATATCATATATCATCCACATTTGCATCAAATTAAATAAAGAATATAGAAGCCAAATATTAATGAAATCAATAGCATTCAAATGTATAAATAGCTAAAACAATCATACTTAATGTATCATAATTATTCAAACTCATATAAAAATAACTACGTTGAAATTCATAGGGCCAACAATATTGATGAATAAAAATTTGTTTCTCTTGAATCATCATAGCTCAAATTTGATCCATAAAGATGCTTCTTGTCCCACTCCCATCTTCCTACAAAAAAATGAAATCATATATTCAAAATTTTAATTAGAGATATAGCCAACAACATAATAGTCTACTAAGAGACGAGAAATAAAGATTGACACAAACCTTGCACAAGCCAAAAATCACTTCTTCTTCTTTGGAGCGGAAGACTTTTTTGTTGGTGAAATCCTCTTTCGATTCAGATTCATCACCTACATTATTTATTTTTAAAATATAAATATTCTCATCATAAGATCTAAAAAAATTCTTTGAATTAAAAAAAAAACTAGCATACCTTCAAATAACGTTGCTCCCTTTCAAACTCTTCTTCAACCCTCTCTTCCCAACTTAGAGTGTCTTCAGACTAATTTTAAAATTTGTTAGCAAAACTAGTACTAACATATAACCAAACCTAGAAGTATAAAGTTAACTTATGCACTAATCGCAAGTGAAGAATATCAATTAACATTTAAGTTTTTCCTACGTCTAATTAAAGGTTGTGGGTTAGCAACTTACTTGAGTATCTTCTGATGATGATGGCATATGTTGTTGACTTTCTACCATTTCCATTAGTTTCTCAAATCTCTGGTTCAACAATAGATTATGCCTTCCTTGATCTTCTAATCTTGTTGTCAGCTCTTGATTTCGTTGAGCATGTTCTTCTAATCTTGTTGTCACCGCGGCCAATTGTGCCTCGAGCTCGACCACTTTTCCAGCTTGTGTATTGATTGATGCTTGTCTCTTTGACTTGCAGCCAGTTCCTGTACCAGGAATACGACCAGAGCGAGTCTTGAAAGCCTCTTTCAACACATTAACATTTGGATTGACTGGTACAACTTCTTCTTCAACTCTTCTTATTTGTTGCTATAAATTGAGGAAAACAAATATTAGCAAGCCTTCATAAATTGTAATGATTCCCTTAATTTACTCATCAATGTAACAAATAAAAACTTACATAAGCTAGGAATGATTCATTATTGACCCATTGAGGCTCGTTATTGTCATTCATAGTTGCATGTTGAGCCATCCAAGCCTCAGAAGCTAATGGTTCTTCACCAGTTTCCTCATCAATCTATCAAGTCAAGTGTAATAAATCAAGTCTAGGATAGCAAAATCAATTATTTAAAAACTGCAAATAAATATATAAAAATTAAGTACTACCATATCATAGTTCACTTGTGCAAACGTAACTGGTCCGGTACATGCAACAAGTGTTTGATTTGCTCGATTCTTTGAATTCCTGTCACTCAATTCCTATATACACATAAGCTTACAAATATAAACATCCACAAAATATAAAGTTTAATGCAAGAACAATCCTATTGTACCAACTAGGAAAAGTACCAGTTGTCATTGCCTTTAAAAAATCAACTTTTTGTTTAAGTTTTGCTCCAGATTAACAAAAAGCAAATGGACAAACAAGTTCCAGTAACATAATCTAGTTTCAAAACGAATACAGAGAAATCATAAAAAATAAAATAAAGGTAACGCATTTAGATCAATAATATATATATATATATATATATATATATATATAGTATGTAATGCAAGGGTTAGACTGGCATACGTCAGACGTATACTATACGTCAGGTACTACTAGTGAGATATCTCTATCTAGACCATGAATTAAATCGAGTTTGGGGTATGATACTATACCCTAACCTCTAATGGATAAACCCCAGTCACCGAGTTTCTAAACTCTAACCCGAAGTTTGATTTAATGAAAAACAAAAAATGACCGTTGAGATCGGCCGGAGCTCATCTAACAACATCTAACGGCTAAATCACCTGACGTATACAATACGCCTGACGTACACCAGTCATCACCGTAATGCAATATAATTAGAAATTAAAATATAAACAATTCCAACATCCAATAAAGGAAAAAGTTGCTCGACACAACATTCTCAATCTTACCACAAATTCCTTTGATGCAAAGACTTGTAGCATTTTCTCCCAATTTTTAGTTGTTAAACCTTCAGTGATATTTTGCATTCGTTCTTCATCCGTATCAAACTTCTTGTACTCTATACGAAGTCTTGATTTCCACTTTCTATAGCTCTCTTTCATCACATGGAAGCAATGTGTCCTGAACTTGAATTGCTTCACTTCAAATGTTTCCGAAGAAGGAGTATTATGCAATTCCTCTAGTTTTTTCAGCTTTGGAGGGCTGTCGGGACTCACGTCAAAGTAATCCTAGAAAATAAATGGAGATCATTACAAAGATTAGTACACGGGTATGAAATCTAAATGGTAATTATGATAGTCGAGTCATTTAATTTTGAAGGCACTTACGATGACCATGTTCCACAGTTGAGTATTATATTGAGGTACTATAGTAGACTTCCATCCATACAGAGGTGCCTCAGTTACAGAGCGGACACAATACCCTAGCCACATGCTCAAACGCCTTCCATTGGGACCCACTGGTTCATAATTTTCTTCGCCCGGAGGAAAATATACCAACAATTTTTCATTGATTGACTTACTTTTCTTCGCCATGTTAAGGCCTTTATATTTTCCTCTGTTACTACGTACACGGCCCTTAGAAGTTCCAGTTCCTTCAAGATAGGTACATTCATAACAAAAATTATTATTGAAAGATAATTATGTATTATTTAGTAATATATGTAAAACTTTTATAACTTAGTACCTTGAGATGAATTAGTCTCATTAGCTCTTGATGCGTTGACGTTTTTTTGAGGTTGGGTTTGGGAAGAGGACCTGCTACCGCCTTCCACATCCAAAGAGTTGAGTTCATCACCGTTAGATGCGCGTTTATTTGATTGTCCGATTCTGGAATCATCTTCGGTTGCTGATACATGTGATATGTTATCAATTTCTGTGTCTGCATACAGAATTGCACGACTTGGTCTGAGTTTGGCCCTTTTTCTCATTGCACCAGCCATCCCTATAAAAAATGAATAAAGTCCCATGCTTAGAATTATATACTACGAACAGAACACAAGTAGATGTATATGGGATTAAGTAGCACCACATACATGATTTAGCAGTTAAACATTTTACAAGCCTCGTTGGTTGCTTAATTAACAGGGAAGTTGAATGCCCTTATATTCTTATAATTCCAGAAATTTCTTTAAACCATGATGTGGGCCTTGTTAATGGATTGGAATTTACCAAACCAATTTGAATCACAATGCACTAAACCCAAAGCATGATGTAACTTGTTACTAGAGTGAAATAATCAAACCAAATTTAAATCCCTTTAATTCCACAGACATATTTAAACGATCACCACCTGGTTCTTCCAAAACGCTAGCTCCACCAGCTCACGAAAACGCTAGCTCCACCAGCTCACAACACAAACAGGGGAAAGCCAATTGAAATAGGGGAACGCCAATTAAAAACAGGGGATAACACTAAAACATGACATCTTCCATCACAAGAGAGCATACCAACTACCAAGAAAACAAAATACGTACAGATAGAGGGAGAAACAATCATACCAGGTGAAGGAGGCTTCGCGGCGGAGTCACTATCTGTGAGTAGAAGATCCAGATTTTATCACGCACAATAATCCATCATCCGGCGCAATCATTGGCGGGGTAGATGTGCGGAAGAAGAAAAAATGGAGAACAGCCCATGAATTAGAGATGCAGAGAACAAGCAAAGAAACTGAAAACTATGGAGTGGTGAACGAGCAAAGACTTACCTGATTCAGAGAAGAAGGGACGAAGGAGATTCACAGAATAAGTGAAAGGCAGCAGCCGCTGTGAGTCTCAAAACCTAATATAAGGGATTTGTGGCGGAAAATATTAACATTCTCGCCAAATAATTTGGTTTTGCCCGCCCTTGAATCTGTTTTCGCAGGATTGGCGCCAAGCCACCCGATATTATTTTTTTTATACGGCTTGTTGTAGGGGGAATTTTGTGGATTTTAAATTTTTAATGATAAAAATAGCAACACCCAATTGAAAAAAACGCTTCATCCATATCGTACCACCAATTTTACAAATAATACCAATAATTATTGAAAAAATAATAAAATAAAGTACAATTAACAATAGTAAAAAAATAAACAAATGAAATTAATCATCGATATCCTCCTCCTCGTCATCGTTGATGCTGAAATTGTTATCTTCCTCGTCACATAGTGGTTCATAATTCTCTTCCTCTTCCTCATTATCAACATTTCTTTCCTTTTCAAGTTCTCGTGTCATGTCGAGCGGAAGTTGTTCCGGCGGAACATCAGTTCTTTGTAATACAACTTCATCATCGCAATCTAATTGTCTAGTTGCACGTCCTTCTTCAGTTCTTTCTTCCTCTTGAAATGCCTCATTGTTGTCATAGTCATCAACTTCTGCTTCTGTATCAACAACATCATCGATCACCACTGGCATGTTGTACAGGTCGCGAGGTTGTACCTTCATCACCACTAACCAATTAGGGTCTCGAGGATCTTCAATGTAGAAAACTTGTTCTGCTTGGCTTGCTAAGATAAATGGTTCCTCTGTTTTTAGACGACGATTGGCTCGAACACTAGTGATCGAGTACTCATCTATATTGTACCCACTTTTATGAGTTACATCAAACCATTCACACTTGAATACGTATACCTTCTTTCTCCCGATGTACTGCAACTCCCACACCTGCTCAAGAATTCCAAAGTACTCTTTTTCGGGAGATGCATCATCGCCTCTACACAACACCCCACTATTTTGACTTTTTCGAGACTCTTGTCTACTTAAATTGTGAAATCTATATCCGTTAACAATATAACCTGTATATGGTGTATAATGACTAATAGGTCCATCGGCTAAATGGAGTAAATCTTCAGGAACATGCCCTTCTAATTGTCGTGCCTACAAGTTCAATGAATCAAATAGAAGTTAGATTTTAGTTTTGACATTATTGGAAGAAAATTTGATATGATACTTACACGTCGTTGGAACCATTTGGGGAAGTCAGAATTATAACTTTTGATCAGATCAGAGTCTCGCATGGGAGGTAAACCACTTTTGAATTCCCTGTAAAATTAGAAAAAGGTTAATCAACACTTAAGGACATTCCTACCATGTAACCAACTTTCAATTTCAAAGCACTTACTGGATGTAAGGAAATACTTCTTTGCAATTGTTTAGGACATATATGTGAGCCTTCCGTCTCCAATCACCATCAAAAATTGTGGGGGCACCTTTCCCAAATGGCCGACCAACTTCATCGAATATATCGATTTCCCCATTTCTAAATTGAGTTCCATTGTCATCGTTATTTCTCGGGGGCTTATTAAACTTGGTATCAACACCATCAAGATACCTTGAACAAAAAGTCAAACACTCATCAATTCTATATGCCTCTGCTATGGAAGCCTCTGGATGAGCTTTATTGCGAACATAAGACTTGAGGGTTCGCAAAAATCTCTCCACTGGGTACATCCATCTTGTTTGCACTGGTCCGGCAATCATAGCCTCCATAGGCAAGTGAAAACACAAATGAACCATGATGTCAAAGAAGGAAGGAGGGAATATCATCTCTAGTTTGCATAAGGTCATAACGATTTGATGTTGTAGGCGATCAAGATCATCAACACTCAGACTTTTGCAGCACAAGTCTCGAAAGAATGCACTTAATTCAATCAATGGTTCACATACTTCCTTTGGTAGATGCCGCCTAATTGCTAAAGGAAGAAGTTGTTGCATGAACACGTGACAATCGTGGCTCTTCATGCCAGAGATCTTTCTCTCCTTCATGTTGACACATCGAGAAATTTTAGATAAAAATCCATCTGGAGTCTTCATAGTTGTCAACATTTTGCACAATGATTCCTTCTCTGCCTTTGATAGCGTGTAAAGTGCAACTGGAACTTGAGTTCTACTCCCAACGACCTTCGGATGTAGTTCTTCTCGAATCCCCATTTCTACCAAGTCCAACCTACTTTTGTATGAATCTTTTGTCTTCCCCTTGATATCCATAATGGTACCGAGCACATTATCACATACATTTTTCTCAATATGCATGACATCAAGATTGTGACGGATAAGAAGGGTCTTCCAATAGGGTAGCTCAAAAAATATGCTCTTTTTCCTCAAGTTTTCATAGCTGTTAGTAGCATCATAGTTTATCTTCGTATCCTTTCTGAAAGGTAATTGCCTGAAACTCTGACATTTCAATAACACCTCATCACCTGACAATGGATTTGGTGCCTTTCTTTTTTCCCTTTCTCCATTGAATCCTGTAGCATTCTTTCTCCATTTGTGATTAGGTAGCAACCACCGCCTATGACCCATGTAGCACATCTTACTCGAATTGCCCAAGTGTTGGGCACAAGTGTCCTTATGACACGATGGACAAGCCTTATAACCTTTAATAGTCCATCCTGAAAAATCAGCATATGCCGGGAAGTCGCTAATAGTCCATAAAACAGAAGCACGTAACTGAAAGTTCCTTTTCGAATGGGCATCATATGTGTTCACTCCATCCACCCATAATTCCTTCAATTCCTTGATCAAGGGTTGCAAAAATATGTCAATGCCCATACCAGGGCTGCTAGGGCCGGGTATAATCATTGACATGATAAAATATGGTTGTTTCATACACAACCAGGGGGGCAAGTTGTATGGGACAAGCACCACTGGCCAAATACTATGTTGGGAGCTCATGTTGCCAAATGGTTGGAACCCATCTGTTGCTACACCAAGTCTAACATTTCGAGGGTCACTTGCAAAAGATGGATGTTTCTCATCAAATGACTTCCAAGCAGGAGTATCAGCAGGATGTCTCATTATTCCATCATCTGTTCGCCCTTCTTTATGCCATCTCATTTGGGAAGCCGTTTTACTTGATGTAAATAACCTCTGCAGTCTTGGTATCAAGGGAAAATATCGTAATACCTTGTGTTGTTTCCCCTTCCCATGCCTATCGAAAGAAGCATATCGAGGCAATTCGCATACTGGACAAGATGTTGCATCTTTATGAGGACCCCAATATAACGTGCAATTGTTCTCACAAACGTCATACTTCTCATAACCAAGACCCAAATCAGCAATGTACTTTTTTGCACTACTGAAAGATTCAGGCAACATATCCTTGCCATTCGGAATTAGTTCCCTCATAATGCTAAGTAAGTCGTCGAATGACTTATTAGTCCACTTGTGTTGACTTTTGAGATGGAGCAATTTCACAATCGTGGCTAGTTTAGTGTGCTTGCAATTTGAGTGCATTTTCTCATTAGCCTCTTTGAGCAAGCGATAGAAGGTAGCAGTGTCTTTATTAGGCTCTTCTTCTCCGACGCCAAAATCTTCTTCATCGCTTCCCATGCCATACACATCATGTATCAGTTCATCCATATCGTCAAGTGTATCACCAGAAATAGGATCTTCATTAACTTCTCCACTCGTGGGTGCCCTCGTATTATTACTTGCAACTTCCCCATGAGAATACCAGGTTGTGTAATGGCTTAAGATTCCATTTTTTAGCAGATGAAACTTCACTTCTGAACGATTCTTATATGCGACGTGTCCACACTTTGTGCAAGGACAACGAATGACTTGTTGATTGACAGAATGAGAAAATGCGAACTCAATAAATTTATTGACGCCTTCGATGAATTCAGGCGCTCTCCTATTTGTTATACTCATCCAATCTTTGTTCGGAATCATAATCTGCAAATCATAACAAGAATTATCAATGCATGGAATTCATGTGAAAAAAAATTCTAAAACATAGAAACGTATATATCTAACAAATGGTGGTATCAAAACACAATAAATAATTTCAAACCTAAAATAAGTAAAATGATAAAAAAAAAAAATAAGAAGTACCTTGAAAATTACGAAGATTGGCCGTCCAATGAGTGGTAAAAATTTCTACCTTGGCTAACTACCGCCGAACGATAACAATTAGTGTACAACTTTGTACCTTATCTCTACAATTGTGCTTTTGTCTTCTATTCTTGTTGTTTCAAAGCAATGTAGCGGGACACTTTTATAGGCAATTGGGAAGTCTACAATTCTTAATTCCTAAATAAAAAGGGAAGACAAAACCTACACAAATAAGGAAGAGCCTATAAATCCGGTGCCGTGCCTAATAATCCTTTCCAACGAAGTCTTCTCTTCAGCGAAGGAAAAGGAAGTCAAGTAAATATTAGAAGTATAATTAATTAAATATTGTGATTCTTTTTTCCCCTGTCATATCATAAAAGGGATACGCGGCTGCCCCTTTATATGTACAGTTATAAATCCGGTGCCGTGCATAAAATTTCTATTCGAGACGAGTTAAGATTATCCTAGACTCTTAAAAGCTCTATTGCTGAATTTGTGGAGACAATTTCAATTGTTCGTGCCTAAAATCACTTAAAAACGTATTGCAAGAACGATATAAAATTATTGTCCCTAATATTTGTCCTCTATACTCATTAAATTTGTAGTGATGGGTAATAGTTTCTCTTTACAACTCCAACCAATATATTAATATTCACACTTATTCTCAAGTTATGCCAAAACGAAAAGAACGACAATAACTCACTTGAAGAAAATTAATTAAAGCAACACAATTTCTTAAAAATATTATATTTTATATTTAGCATATAAAATAAATTAGAGAAAATATTGATTATTTATAGACAAAATACATATGCATGTGTATAATCGGGTGGGTTCGGGTTGGATAGTGAGAAAACCATGCCCATTCCATAACCCGTAATATTCGGGTTCGGGTTATACCCGTACCCACTAAAAGTAATTCGGATTCGGGTTTTACCCTACCCGATTAGGTCGGATTCGGGCGGCTATCCATGGTTCACGCGTCCATGGAGTTAGCCTTCGCTCTGAAATCGCCGGCGCACCTTTGCCTGCCAAAACCATAATTCCAGTGACAACTTCGATCACCGTTAATGTCACACCTCTTCCCCTTTTGGGAGTTGTTGACTAGTTCGCAGGCTGTGTACTTGAATTAGGCGAGTTTACATACATAAGTTAAGCCCTTAACATAGTAAAGAAAATCCTAGCCACCCATTAGTAGTCCTCCGAAAAAGGTTAAGACACTAAATCTGTCAAATGGTAATTTGTAATTATCATTATTGAGCCCACTACAATCAACTCAAGAAGACAAGTTCATTATTCTAGCTGGTGGAACTAGCTATCAACGTTATCTATTACTTCTCTACACTAAAGAGATTAAAACAAAATAATAATGCATTGGTGAATTAAAGAAGAAACAAGCACAACATATGAAATTGAATGGATGAGTTATCATGGAGGGCCACGTAGGCAACTTGTCCAAAATAATGCATGGGGCCAAGTTAATTGAAGTCTTCCATTTCAATTGTAATATATATGTACGTATGGGATGAAGGAAGTGTCAAAGAAGCATAAAAAAAAAAAAGGTAACCAAGTCCTTGGTCGTGTATGTGTTTGTAGTAGCAAGAGTCAAAAACTTAAGGCCTTGTTTGGTTGAGTGTGTTTTTCTAAATTGAGTGATTAAACACCAAATGTTTCCTTTGTCTTGATCCAAAATTACTATTACTTCTGCAAATACCCAATAAAATCTCCGTAAGCTGAATTAATTGCATCTCACCATGTTATGTTGGTATAATTTGTTTTTTAAAATTTTGGGACATTCGACACACCTCCGATAAGTGTAACCGACACAACTTCTTGTACTAATTTCTCCTAACACGTTACTAATTCCCCTGGACTACAAAAAAGACGGGCATTATTTTTTACAAGCTTTTCGTCATTAAAAGTAAAATTGTGCCAGAAATGGGTTTTTACCTACGATATATGGTCGTCAGACGTCGTCATAAAAAGTCCCGTTGGTAATAATAATAACACTAACGGCGCGTCAGTGCTAGGTTATTACTGACGCGATTGTATCGCCAATACAAGAAAAAAACATAGTCAGTAATGTAGACTTTCACGACGAAGAATGATGACGAAACCTTTTACTGACGAATTGAAGCTTCTCTAATGATGCTCTGATGTCGTCAGAAATACATTATTTTGACAAACAGTATTATTAACAATCCATGGTTGGGGAATCGTATTATTTTGACGAACCACATTACTTTTATGACATTATTCATAAATAGAGCATCTCTAACGCCTCGTTTCCAGTGCTAAAAAAAAAATGCCTTGTCAGAATTACTATGAAACCTGATATTTCAAATCAATTTGCAAAAGTAACTAAATAAATTATAGTTATAAGTACGTCACTATATAAAACTACAAATACAATGCTATTACATAATAATGTAAATAACTATTACATTTCATGTACAAATAAAACACAATAGTAAAAGAAAATAAGGGCCTTATCTAAATCTAAATAACTATTACTAACAATCTATATGTCGTCGGCGTTCTTCCTCCGCCGCTTCCTCCGCCGCCGACAAGGTGGAGGATGTCGTTGCTCTCCTACGTCCTCCATGACTAGGATTCCAAAAGTAAAAACAAACACAAATGAAGAAGAAAAATAAAGGTAAGAATCGACCAAAATAAGAAGGTTAGCTTTCGCCGGTGGAGGTTAGTCGCCCGCCGGGTTTTCGAACTAAGAGGGTCTGGAACACTTTAGTCGAGACTCCAGACTGTTTGAGAACTTTCCGCAGTGTAGATGTCAGTTGAATTGAATTGGGTGAATTACAACTTGACATAACTGCAATCTAGGGGGAATCATACCTAAGTGAGTTCCCAACCTGTAATTAGATTAACTTTAACTGTAGTTTGTTAGAGTAGTTTTAATTCTTCCATCTTTATATGGTTTGCTAGATAATGAACTGAAGCTGAGTAATAGTAATTCTAGAGACCCGTGGATTCGATATTTATTACTTGAGCCACTATACCGCAATCCCTTTCATTGGTTAAACTTGGCCGTTGCTAGGAGTTGTGTCATAGAGAGTAATTAATATACTTGTATTGTTTAGAATACATTATATTTTTAATTTTTTAGCAGACACAATACATGGATTGTTTCTGTAATGTAACCAAAACAGAAACTATTACTAAAAAATGTGATTGTTATATCTTAACTTTTAGCTGAGATTGTTGAGATAGTTGAGTTCATATTGTTTTATCTTAATTTTTAACTGATTTGACATACACAATCACACATACCAAACATTGTATTTTACAATGCATCGAATTCGACAATACATGTATTCACAACACTACATCTAAGAAATAATTGAAACTTCCAAATGAGTGCTTAGTGGCGAGGTTGATGCTAGCAAGGCTTTACTTTCCATTTTTTTTTAATTGGAAATGTTTATTTATTATTATTTATTTAATAATAACAAGTTTCTACGTCTTCTGCCACTTGTATGCTGACCATGTTTTCTATTAACCTCTAACGAAAAACTTAACCGAAGAGACGGTTTATTATACAAATGATATATGAAAATTACGTAATATAAGTGACAATATCACTAAATGTTGATATTTTTAGCGGTATTAGCTCTTTTTTTTTTTCGAAAAGATACTTGCATTAACAAGACAAAAGAGTTACATCATACCAATTTCCGAGCACAATCACGCCCGAAAATCAAATCCAACACTTCCCGTAGGAAACAAATCGAGGGCTTTTTTACCGGTATTAGCTCTTATTTCAATAAAGATGAACATTTTTTTTTCGACGAAGACAAAATGGAAATAGAAATTGAGTGCACTGACAGCCGCGCGTAAGGACGAACGAGAATTAAAGGAAATCCCAATACGAGTATATACCAGCCATTTGTCGCCCACAATTCCCCCTTCTTGTTACAAATGAAAGAAGTCCAAAAATGGATCTCAAAAGTTGCGCTTGTTGTGTGGGTGGTGGCCGTGACCGCCGTGACCTGAACTACTTCCCCCTACGCCCATTTTCATCTCCCTACCGATTCCCCTCATCAACATCTTCCTCCCATTCCCTTCTGCAAAGCAAAACACCCCCCACACGTTAACAGAGCACTAAGAACACCGGTTCTTTCTTACTTTGGTCACAGTTTTAAGCACCGAATTCATGAAAAGGGTCGATATGTACTTACTGGGGAGTGAAGCAGTGATGGTTGGAGCCACTGACGACGGTGCCGGTGGGGAGCAGAGGAAGACGATGCAGAGCAAAACGGCGGTGAAGAATAGAAGCAGAGACCCCTTTTTCCAACTGGCCTCCATTCTAATTTTTGCCTAGCTATAACTCATTGGTTGTCCCCTATTTATATTGCAATGGATCGGAGGTACCATCTCAAAGTCTTCTTTTTTTGGCCAGGCTGTCATCACTGCAAAGTCTTGTCCAACGGAGATACCGCTACAACTTGGTTCTTATATATATGAGTCAAACAAGAGAGGGACCTCGATCTCCCAATTACATTAGTTATTATCTTTATCTGCTAATTCACTTGGAGTTTTTTTTTGTTTAATTAAATTGGAGAGATCCGATCCTCATAAACAATTGACTACGATATACTAATGAAGGCTTGTGCTTGAATATTATATCATACATGAGTAAGAGACGGCCCAAAAGGAAAAGGCCCAAGGAAAGCTAAAGCACAATATGGGCCGGCCCAACGGCCAGTGGATTAGTCGCAGGGCGTTAACGCCTGGGAATAGCGGATGTACAGGAGCGTACAACTGACGGAGCAGGCACCAATAACGACCATGCCGTCACTGACACCACATTAAATGCCGCCGTGAGCGTACCTCGTAAAGGGATACTAGGTATATGTCTGACAAGACATCAAGTGCTTACACCAACTGCCACAGACTATAAATAAGAGTCAACCACCTCATTTAATGGTAATTGATTTCACTCTCTCTCTCTACCTATTTTCCTCTCTCTAGATATTAACTTAATCATCGGAGAGTGTCCGCGGGCAACGCCCCGGACCTTTTCTGCAGGGAACGAAGATCATCCATCTCAAGGAACAAGCGGTCTTCTCCTTGGTCTTCACAAAATCCGCCTGGCACTTTCTAGGCGTAAACAGTACCATCTCAAAGTCTTTTTTTTTTTTTTTGCCAGGCTGTCATCACTGCAAAGTCTTGTTCAACGGAGATACTGCTACAACTTGGTTCTTAATTCTTACTAGTTTTTTAGCCCGCGCTTCGCGGCGGATAACCCTATATTATTAATACATTGGAAGTTTCAATATTTTACATAATTGTTATTCTTAGTATAATGAAACCAAGGAATCACACCCCACAGAGTTGGTAACATTAATATTATGGATAATCAAAGTACTTAAAAGCAAAATAGCAGTATGTTGGCATTTAGTTGTCCAAAATGTAGTGTTGAGGATTTAAGAGAAAATATATATATAAGGTTATAGTTCATAAGGAAACAACAAAATTAATGTAGCAAAACATGCACCGGAAAGTTGAAACTCAAGAGGCAAAAACTGACCCTCAAGTCGCCATAGCCTTCAATTCAAAATCAAGGAATCATGAGTTATACATCTGACTCAAATAAGAATGAACTAAAAATGTCATGAGAATAAAGTAAACAACATGATTTATATGGATATGGTGACTCCATTCAACCATGTCGTACTACTTCTTTCGATACTTTCCACCGGTCTGCATTTGGATTGAGATAATAAGATCATTACTATAAAAACTATCAAACTCATACATCCATTACTATAAGGAAATTTCAATAATTCAATCATAGAATTTTGAATTTTCCATCCTGGAACTAATAAGTCCCCAATTACAAAGACAATCGAGAGCATAGTTCTCCCACTCATGTTCTCCTGTTAAAGTTTGCCTATAGAAGAAGGGACATATGTTGAATCACTAATATGTAGTCAAAGAACAATATCTCTTTATAATCAAGATAATGCCCATAACTATTCTGATCTATTATAACAGTGGCAACTATCATGATTATACAGTTTAATTGAGTTTCTGCATAATTTTTGAACTACAAAAATGTACTACTTTACCCGAAAACAATACTTGAAACACCCCTAACAACCTCATAACCATTCTTCTCCTCATATGCATTTGTCAATCTCATCAAAAGCAACTGGTTTTTGGTAATCTCAATAGATTAACAACTTCCCTAGCTCTACCAACCTCAACTCTGTTTCAATATTATATGGTCATACAAAACCTACAGCAATATCCAGATTTGCATTACAACACTAAATCTAACTATTTTCAAGAGGAATAAATAATAGGGAAAGTAAGATACCAAGCTGATCACACATACAGATAGATGGCGCCAATACAGATGCACTAATCTCATTATCAGCATAACATGAACTAAGAAAAATGAGGCATGCAGGATACATCAGTACCAAAATGAAAATTTTGGGTCTACCACTGCCCTAAAAGTCAATAATCATAAGCTAAAGCACAATTTGAACGGTCATAAGTAAGAATGATGACCTGTAACTAATGGGGAAGGGAGAGCCAAAAGGGCCCTTCTTCCTATTCCTAGCCTGTAACTGTTCAACCTTTTGCTCAGGTAGCACTTTCCCCAAAATGGAACTCTGCAAAACTACATTCATATAGAGTAAAATTACCTAATACTTTCTGATAAATGATCAAACTTAGAGTATTATCAAGATTTCACATACAACAATGCTATAAGAGAAATTTCACCCTTAGAACTTGGGAAGCCTAGCCTAGTTGAAAAATTCATATTCTGCAGGCTGCAGCTGGTAGATCGTGTTGACCCATATTCGAGATGAGAAATTGTTGATTACCTCAAGAGTAGGTTCTTCTCCACAAATACTGTCCATGACACTCAGCAGTGACTTCTCGCATACATGAAAGTTGTTGTATGTGAAGTTGTGAGCTCATATTGCAGAGGATAACAATAAACTGCAAGAAGGAGCAATGCCAACATAGAGATTTCACTTAGCAGCATCACTCTCAACTGTTTCATAAGTTTCAGTAAGGACTCCTTTATCTTCTCTGAAAAGACCATAACTAACTGTTGCAGCAGTTTAATAAAACTCATCTTCAGGAACACTGATGTAGAAGCATTAAGAGGATTAATCCTGCAAATATTGACAAAACCACTGGACTCTCAAGCATTCTATATGGTTCTGTTTTTGGATTGAAGGACCGATTACAAAGTACAATGGGAAAGCAAAGTGGAAAACAATAGCAATCAATCCTGCTGATTCGATCCCAAATGACCCTATAAAACCTCATGAACCCCTACTGCCTTGTGTCGCAACTCCAAGAACTAAGGGGAAAAGAAATAAAGTTTTATAAGCAAGAAACATGTACATTTTCCCAATTTCAACACCTTCTTCCGCAATCATTCTACCCTTTTAATAACAAAGAGAAAAGCAGATTGGTCACTAAAGAAACCTTTTCGAAAGCATCCATATCATTCTGGAACATACTTGAACATAGTTTATTTTGAGATAGTGCTTACCAGAAATTTTGGACGTAAATGGGTGCCCTTGCAGCTCATGGGCAACCCAATATAATTTCTTTCATTCTGCGTACATACCCTTCCTCTCACATTTTTCATTCTCTGCAAAAACCCTTCTTATCCCTTTCTGTGCAATCAAATTAAAGAAGAGCATCGCTCTGCTTAGTTGGCGCGTTCCTCTTCCTGATGACGATTCCTCTCCCGGCCTAGTGAATTAAAGGAATCTTGAAGTGTCGGACTTTAGCGCGTAGCTTCATAGATCGTATCTACCCCTCTTCGAAATCGAAGCCATGGAATCGAAGAGGAATCGTTCAACTTCAAATATGTCGGGAAGGAGGGCTCGGAGCTTCAATCGATTTTAAATATACCGAGAAGGATGGCTCGTCTCCCACCGGCATGCCGTTCAGCGGGTCCAGGGAGGTGAGCGAGAGGGGAAATCGAGCGTCCTTCGTTGGCGACCGCTCAGTGGGTTCGGAGATGTGGTATCTGTCGTCAGTTCAGCCAGTTCGTGGAGGTGAGTGCGGGGGGAAATCGGGAGTCATTGATCGACGTCCGTTCAGTGGTGATCGTCGCAGGGACTGATTTAGAGGACATGGAGCTTGGGATTGATGATTGAGACTGGAATGTGAAAATGATTTGGGAGGCTGAGAAGTGAGGAGGCTGGATCTCCGTCAGCGTGTTGTTCAGCCGGTTGAGGGGAGCAGGGAGAGAGGAGAGAAGTCGTTCGACTTTGGGAGACGAACCCATCAATTTATTTTTTAATGGGGCGACCGATAAGGTGTAGATGTTTTTTTAGTGAGCTCATGCATCTTACAAACAAAACTCACATCGACGGCTATTCTTGGCCAGCCCAAGATAAATAAACATGAGCTCACGTGAATACTACCGCAGAGAATCATCCAGTCCTTTTCGTGAACAGTTCTGTACGATTTTTTCGTAATGAACAGTGAATTTCGATTTTTGGTAAGTTTTGACTTCTTGTGGCTTAATAATTCAAATAATATATATGAGTCAAACAAGAGAGGGACCTCGATCTCCCAATTACGGGATTTTTCCAGAAATAGCACCTTTTAAAAAAAATTACAAAAATAGCACCCATGTAAAAAAAATTCCACAAATAGCACCCTTCTTAATAGAACGCACCTTGTAGATGCGTTTTACATATAAATCGCACCCTACAAGTGCGTTTTATAAGTAGATCGCACCCTACAAGTGCGTTCCAAAAATCTGGAATCAAATCGCACCTCAGCCAAGCGATTTTTGGTCTGACCTAGTAAAATCGCATGGCCAAAATGCGATTTAGGTCTGACCTACTAAAATCGCATGGCCCAGGTGCGATTTAGAGCCAGCCCTAGTTAAATCGCATGCCTGGGGTGCGATCTGTTTCTGGCAGACAAAATCGCACCATGAGGATGCGATTATAACATGCAAACCGCACCTTAAAGATGCGGTTTTGGTCAATTAATTTCCGACATGCATGCAGAAGTTACAGACGTGGGTCTGCATGGGTCTGCATGGCAGACGAAAATCGCATCTCTAAGGTGCGGTTTTCATCAAGATTTTGCCTATAAAAGGCCTCCCGGACTACCATTTCTCTTCACACCTCTCCTTCTCACTTCCCTGTTCAATTTTCTGTTGTAGCTCTATATTTCTTTAGTAGTTTTGCGATTAACGTTAACTCGCAAGTTGATGTAGCTCTATATTTCTTTAGTAGTTTTGCGATTAACGTTAACTCGTAAGTTGATTTAGTATTACATATTTCTTTAGTAGTTTTGTGATTAACGTTAACTCGTAAGTTGATTTAGTATTACATATTTCTTTAGTAGTTTTGTGATTAACGTTAATTCGTAAGTTGATTTAGTATTACTTTGTATTGTTAATTTTTATTTTTGATTTTTATGATATTAACTTAACTACGGTTTTATCGCAGATGGCATTCCAAAAGTTCACGCTTGGCTTACGGTGGAATGGTTACACGGAAGAGACCGGAAAGGGTGCCACCTACGTAGGTGGCAATTTTCAGAAGATAAAGGTCGCTACCAGACCGCTGCTCGAAGACCTCCATCAAATGTGCACTAACGTTACTTGCATGGATGGCACGAGAAAAGTTGATCGTATGGTGTACCGATATCCAAACAGAGAAAGTGGGTCATTGTGGCATGAGGAATATCTCATAACCACTCAGGATGAGGTAGACGCCATGCTCGAATTCATGAGGTCCAACAATCTTTCCAAAGCTGAGATGTTCGTTTACACCGAGCCGGTCGTAGGCGTTGGAGGTCATTCTGGACACGGTCAAACATCTGGTACCCATGGTGGAGGTGAATTATATGGCGATCATCCCTACCAAAGTTACCATGATCCTCATTCATATTTTCAGTACCAAGAGCAAGGTGAAGGTCATCATCAATCATATGAAGAAGAAGTTCAACCGGTACTTTTACTCCCAAAACACTATAGATGAAATGAACCCAACCGGGCATACCGTCGACATCGTCGGGGGCATGATCACTAACGCACACGGGTTTGCCGTCGATGGGGAGATGGGTTAGGATGGCGACATCCTTTAGTGTGATGGTGGCCTCTCCTTCTCTCAAGTTGAAGCAATGGGTCTCCTTTCTCCATCTCTCAACTAGGGCGGTGATGAGTTGGCGATCAACTTTGATGCCGTTAAAATGCCTAATCGAGTCCAATCGTGCCCTTTTGAGAAAGGGCAAGATGGCTGGGTGGAATGGGAGCACATTGGTCGTACCCCTGTAGCGGATTATTGTTTGTGCCTCCTAGAGAAAATTTACACGTTAATTATTATATATTAGTAAGGGTTTAATCCTTATAACTAAATTACTTAAATTAAATTATTTAACTTCAAGCAAAATTTTATTATCATACTTTAGACATTTCATATAATTAACATAATAGCATTATAAATGAATAATAATTTAAAGAGATACGATACATACATATTAAATTATCGTAAAGAGATACATACTAATTATCGTAAAATAAACATACTAAATTAACTAAATTAAATGACATTGTTAATGAATCAATATTTTAAAGAGAAACATACATATTCAATTGTTTGAAATTAATAAAATTCCATTTGTAGACATAAATTTTAAATCGTAAGGACTGTTTGGTAAATTATTTAATCGTTTTGGTTGTTTTAAATAATTTAATCGAATACAAAGCAACACTCGTTAGACTCTTAGAAGAGGTATACATCTTCTTAGAAACGCAGTCTTGTTGACAGAAAAAGGGGGGATCCGAGGATCTCTTAATACCCGATTTTCCCAGGAAATGGGAGGATATGATAATCGCTTAAAACCCCATTTCCTTAGACGTGCATCTCTTTATAAAGAGTCGAAGTAAGTGGCGCAATGTATCAGATTAAATTATTGAAAACAACCAACACGATTAAAAATTCAACATAAATTTATTTTATATTTCACTAAATACATAAACAAAATAAAAGAAGGACAAATGGTAAAGAATTGTATGTACCGGGTGAGCGTTCCAAACATCCCTTGACCGATGGTTGGGTTGGTTGTACAAGTCAATTGGATCCAACGGTCCTTGCTCGAGATAATACCGTTGGTTGTAAATATCGACGTCCTCCGCAGCCTACGAGAAAATAACAACGAGGTTAGTAAATAGATTAATTAAAAAGCAAGATAAGAACAACAAAAATTAAACCCGAATAATGAGTACGTACCGCTTGGAATTCATCAACAAAAACTCTTTCTCCTTGCCACCAATCGGCCATTTTTTCGGCGCAATTCGGACAGAGCTTCGGCTCGGCTCGGCGGGTTTTGAGGAAAAAACCTAAGAAATGTTTTCTAATGGCAGATCGGACTTTGCCGCAACCAATAGACCACTATTTCCTAGGCTTTTGGGAGGGGGAGGGTTTAGAGAGATAAAACTTAGAGAGAGAAGGAAGAATGGGTTGAAGGTGTGAAGAAATGAGATGGGGAGGGGGGCTATTTATAGTTTTCAGATCGCAGGCTCCAGGGGCGAGTTGGGAATTTTGCCCCGCGCGGATCGCATTCTCCCAATGCGTTTTCCGCTTCCCCAGGCGCAGATCGCACCCTCCCAGTGCGGTTTGACTGACACCGGCGCGGATCGCATTGCTGGCGTGCGATCTGGGATCCAAGGCGCGGATCGCTCCGCTGGCGTGCGCTCAGCCATTGGATCGGCTATCAATCCGACGATCTGGTGGATCGCAACGCGTCCTCCCCGAATCGCCTTGACCTGGTGCGTTTTATATTTTAGATCGCACCCCTCTGATGCGTTTTACCTATAGATCGCATCGGTAAGGTGCGGTTTACATTTAAAACGCATCTTAGGGGTGCGTTCCAAAAAACAAGGTGCTATTAGTGGAATTTCTTTCACATAGGTGCTATTTTTGTAATTTTTTTTTTAAAGGTGCTATTATTGGAAAAATCCCCCCAATTACGTTAGTTATTATCTTTATCTGCTAATTCACTTGGAGTTTCTTTTTGTTTAATTGAATTGGAGAGATCCGATCCTCATAAACAATTGACTACGATATACTAATGAAGGCTTGTGCTTGAATATTATATCATACATGAGTACATGCCATTGCCAAGACTCTGCCAGCATACTGGTGATTGTTTGATTTGTTATATTGAAGATTACGAAAATTAGAGTGAGAAATTAAAGGATGATCTCCTCTTCCCCTCTTTCCTCATTTTATTCATCTCACGCATAACAGGACAAAGCTAACAGGTGTGTTTTGTTATAGAGATTCAGAGTTGCTGTAAAAAAGAAAGACGTTGAGCTATAGCAGGCAAAGTGATTGACTACCACGCTTGGAGAGAAGATCTGAGAATGGTTGTGGTGGCAGTGCTTTTGTCAGTATATCAGCCCGTTGATGACCCGTGCGAACCTGAAGGAGCTTTGGTCACTTGTGCTTGTACCTTCTCCTAGACTATGTTCATCTATATACTTTAGATTTCTTCTTCGATTTCCATGAACATAATGAGTTCACAAGAAACCATGGTTGTCAAACCGGTTTCCTGCCGGTTGGTTCAACCGGATACAACCGGTACCGGTCACCAAACCGGATAGAAAGTGGCCGATATTTAGCATTGGTCAATTCCGGTCAATGCTGGTCAGATCCAATCAAAGTCGGAAATTCCGACCGGTCAACTCTGAAATCGAAATTCTTTGTTACACACATTATATAAAAAGTTATAAACACTTTTTATAGAGTTTGAACCAAGTATCTCATGTTCATTTTAGTTTCAATTATATCAGTAGACTACAAATAACTTTGTTGTATATATTAATCTTATATATTATATATATCTAATACTATATATTACACAAATCATTATATAAATTAATAAAATTCATTTTATATACTTTTATTTTTACACATTTAATTATTTAGTATCAGTTACCAATTCTAAGCCATAACTTATTTTGTGTGAAGTAATTCTTCTAATTGTTTTTCTTTTATTTTTCTCATGTATTTTATTAAAACCGGCATAACCGAAATGAATATTGATTGTACTACAGTTGAACCATTTCACTTGCTAAACGGCGCACCGACATAAACCGATAAGCTTGCAAGAAACACAATATCTAGTAAATAAACGTCATGTATCTAGACATGTGGCCGTGCCTGAACCACCATATGCCTTTCAATAAAATTCTGCTAATGAAGGGAAGAACAAACCGTTTTCTGATGAGTAAGTATAGGAGAATGCATGAATTGACTTCCTTGTTCTATTGCAAAACCAATTTTTTAAATTCTGTTGGATCGACCAATGCTTCAGGAACTTCATATCTTGGGATTTTTCCAGAAATAGCACGTTTATTTTTTTTTTTTTACAAAACTAGCACCCATCCAAAAAAATTGACATAAATAGCACCATTTTAATGGAACGCACCCCTAAGGTGCGTTTTATATGTACGACCAACGGTATTATCTCGAGCATTTGA